AGAGGGGAGAAAGAAAAAGGCCCATTACTCTTCAACATCTTCATCAATGATTTGGATGAGGGGATAGATGGGGAATGTATCCAATTTGTAGGCAACACCAAGCTGGCAACAATAGTCAACACTCCAGAAGATAGGCTTAAGATACAGAAGGATCTTGACAGACTTGAACATTGGGCACTATCTAACAAAATGAAATTGGTGAAAAAAGTAAGGTTCTATATTTAGGCAAGAAAAATCAAATGTACAGGTATGCATAATATAGGTGATACCTGGTTCAATAGTAGTAATTATGAAAGGGATCTTGGAGTCCTAGTGGACAATCACTTAAATATGAGCCAGCAGTGTGCTGTAGCTGTCAAAAAAGCCAAAACAGTTCTAGGCTGCATTAACAAAAGGATAGAATCAAGATCACTTGAAGTCTCAATACCACTTTAATAGTGCCTTGGTAAGGCCACACTTGGAATACTGCATCCAGTTTTGGTTGCCATGATGTAAAAAAGATGTTAAGACTCTAGAAAGAGTGCAGAGAAGAGCAGCAACGATGATTAGTGAACTGGAGGCTAAAACATATAAAGAATGGTTGCTGTAATTGAGTATATCTAGTTTAATGAAGAGAAGAAGTGGGGTGACATGATAGCAGTGTTCCAATATCTCAGGGGTTGCCACAAAGAAGAGGGAGTCAAGCTATTTTCCAAAGCACCTGAGGGCAGGACAATAGCAATGGATGGAAACTGATCAAGGAGAGAAGCAACTTAGAACTAAGGATAAACTTCCTGACAGTTAGAACAATTAACCAGTGGAACAACCTGTTTCCAGAAGCGGTGAATGTTCCAACACTGGAAGTTTTTAAGAAGAGACTGGACAGCCATTTGTCCGAAATGGTGTAAGGTTCCTGCCTGAGCAGCGGTTTACATTTGATGACCTCCAAGGTCCCTTCCAACCTTATTATTATTATGGATCATCGCACAGTCAGCCAGATGTTTAGACTGGATTTGGCATTTTGTCTACCTATCGAGTCCTTACTCAGGACCTGGGATAGGCAGATGTGGATGTTTGATGGTATTACAGATATCGTCGCAGGATGGAAGCAGTTCCTAGTAAGGCCGCCTTTTGCAATTGACTAATAGCGAATTTGTCAATGCCAATGGTGTTCAAGTGGTGCTCCAGTTGTTTTAGGATTGCACCCAAGGAGCCTATACTATTGGTACTACCCTTGCTTGCTTTTGCCACAGTCTTTCTATTTCTATTTGTAGGTCTTTGTATTTTGTTATTCTTCTCCAGTTCTTTCTCGTCTATTCTGCTGTCTCCAGGCACTGCCACGTCCACTATCCAGACTTTTTTGTCTTTCTTATCGACAATTGTTAAGTCTATTATTATTATTATTATTATTATTATTATTATTGATGGAAGCAACCTAGAACTAAAGAGAAATTTCCTGACAGTTAGAACAATTGATTAGTGGAACAACTTGTCTCCAGAAGTTGTGAATGCTCCAAAACTAGAAGTTTTTAAGAAGAAATTGGACAACAATTTGTCTGAAATGATATAGGATTTTCTGCCTGAGCAGGGGATTGGACTAAAAACCTCCAAGGTCCCTTCCAACTCTGTTATTCTGTTCTAACAGTGATAAGTACGAACCAGTTGCCAAGCATCTGAATTTTGATCACATGATCAAGGGTATGCTTCAAAGGTTGTAACTGTGAAAAATGGTCATAAGTCACTTTTTTTCAATGCCATTGTAACTTTGAATGGTCACTAAATGAACTGTTGTAAGTCGAAGACTACTTGTATAACAAATACATACCAAGGAGAAATTATCAATAGTGTTCATACTTTCAAATCAAAGTGGAAATTGGCAGTATAACTGGATATTCCATTCTTATTTTACTATAACCAGACTATTTATTTGCTTTACTTCCAAATGTTTGTCCTGTTTGCACACTAACATATTTAATTTGCTTACTGGAGTTGAATAATACACTGAACCTTGAACTAACCGAAGAGGCTTTCTTCGTCTATGTTAACTCATAAAAAACAAACCATAATTTAAATGAACACAACTGACTTATTTAAGTGAATGTGTGAACATAGTGTTTCTACTTTAGCTTTCATCCCATATGGCAATCAGTTAACCTCTGCATTTGTTTTTCATGATGAACTCTTGACTCGAAACATAACTACAACAAAAGTAAACATTCTCTTTCTTACACACACATACATATATTTCTATATGTATACAAACACACACATTTAAAAATCTACCCACACATTTTTTATAGGAAAAGAATAGCACATGCAGAAACAAACTGCATTAAATGTACTTTCCTAAAGATCCAGAAAGCATTTAATTTTTAAGACGAGTCCTCTACTAAAACCGAACTATAATTCCCAGAATCCCTTTCATCGCGGAAGACTTATAGCGATGAAGAGCTAGAGTCGGAGGCCAATCATAACTCGAAGCTGCGCTTTCGTGGAAGTTTCCTGTATAGAAGTGGGAGACTTTGAAAAGAGGCCAGGTTAGGATGGGTGATTTGGTGTGGTTTGCGATTGGGCGGGATAAGACTTTCTACCGATGGGGGCATAATTTTTTTTCTGCAGCGGAGCGAGTCGTAAAGAAGTCTTTGCATCTTTTTTTTCCTCCATGATGGAGACAGAACAACCGCCGCGCTTTTAAGGTCTAGGTTGCTATTTGGTGCTGCACTTTTATTTCAGGTCTTTTGTGGAAACATGGATGCATCGCAGTCTCGCAGAGTCTGGGGGGGGGGGGGGGAGCGTGGGATAGCTGCCTCTCCGGGCTGCATGGTCAGCCTCTTAATGCTTTTACGTGGCCCGAGAGTGTTGTTGGACTATCCTGCCACTGGGAATCCGGTTGCTGTTTAGCACTTGGGAGATGGGTCCTCCTCCTTCCTTTTCTGCTTTTGCTCAGACCTATGTGACCAGCTCTATCCTAGTGAAAGTTAAAAACTTGCAAAAGCTCCGCTTCCAAAACACGGAGAGAGTTGCGCAGGAACGTTCTCCCAGTGAAAGGCTCCTGTTTAGAATCTTGTGCAATTTGCTATGTCACCTGATCACAGGCCATGGTCTATCTCCCCAGAAGTTGCTTTTTCTAGGGGAAAAAATTAGCCTAATGACAACAAGAATTTTAGGGGAGTGGAGGAAAGGAAAGTGTGAGTGGGTAGGAGACTTGATGGAGCTGACTATAGTTAGCTATAGTTGAAGAAAATTGAAATCAATGATGGTGTTTAATAAGAGATTTAAGTAGGATAAAGGATGTACCTCTTGCAATAGAATATAGTTAAACTGTGGAAAGTTCTGCAATATTTCGGTGGCGATGAACTTGAATGGTTCTAAAAGAGTTAGATGGAGCAGCATATGAAGCTCCATAACAATAAGGGTTCTATAATGCTTTACGTATTGGGGTAGTGTACCCCTGAATATCAGTTGCTTGAGAATATATGCAGGATAGTAATATTAACTGTTATTTTGAGTATCAAGTAGTGGATTAAATGGGTCAGATACCCTGTTTTTCTTCTGTGTTCATGTGTTGGTTTATGATGGAGATAATTCTTCGTGTAGTGAATAAAGGCACTTCTGATATCTTACATCTTCCAAATGGATGTTTAAAATAAAGGGATGAAAAGAGTAGTAGGTTTGATATTTTTTCATTATCTGCATTTTTTCTTAAGTTCCTACATTAAAAAAATGAGTTGAGAATTATTTTTTATTATTTTTAGACCCAGAAAAAAAAAACCTCATTTTGCTATAGGTTGTATTCCAAAACCAGTTTGCCTCCTTTGACTTTTTCTCTTCAGAGCAATTTTTGTAAAAGTAATAATTTTTCTTTCAGGAAGGGAGCTTAAAGAAAGCTACATCAAGAATTTGAAGGAAGCAAATATTATCACTTGTAAGAGTCTGGCTTCAGTTATTCCCCAAAAGTTTAAATAAAGAATTAAATTTAGGACAATAGGGTTACTTGTAAGAAAATTATTATGTAATGTTGAGTTAATCTAATAAGATGAGTTGATTGTTTGATAACACAGATGTTATTACTTATGACAATTAACTGGATGTAATTTGAATTCTGTTTAATGGATTGAAATGACTTAAAGTTTAATTTTTTTGTCAGCTTAGAGAGATTGATTAATGGATGGACTAGATACGTATAGGATAGATTAATATTTTATTTTAATTAAGGGATATTAGTGGAAGAAGAATTAAATAAGATTTATAATAAAATCAAGGAACTAGAATATATTTGGAAGGGATACCCGAATTGATAATGTTTGTACTTAAAGCTAACTTGATTATGGTAGTGTAAATTTCTAAAGCTTTAAAATTAGGTATAGGTTGAATAAATTTAAGCTAGAATTGGACTATTTTAAATAAATTATGTTACCTAAGGGAAAAAGAGAGGGAATACTAGATGTATTGACTGAATTATGTGTATATGTTTTGTCTTTGGATGTTTGACTACCCTAACACCACGGTATGTCTTGAGCATTTTGTTTTAAAAACTAAAAAACCAATAAAATTTCTTCAAAAAAAAGAATTGAAATGTAGTTTAAGTGGATGAGTTATTATGAAACAAATGCCCTCTAAATACATTGAATGGATTTTCCTATTTCTAGTATGTAAACTGCTTTTCTGCCAAGGAAAAGCATCCAAAATGTTGTAGAGCATAATTAAAATATAGTACTATGCACTTTAAAAATAGAGACATAAAGCCAGCTAAATAATGCTAAAAAGCCAGGAAGCAGAAAGAAGACAGATTGAAAATTTCCTAAAGTCAAAAGAGCAACAGGTAGCTAAATTGATTCTAGCTGCAGTCTCCAAGTCTCCAATAACATTTGGGTATATACAACTAACAGAACTAAAGTTAGCTCGGCTTACAAACAGTTGTGAAAAATAGGTTTTAGTGGACACAGAAAGAAAATAAACAAATGTGTTGTGCAACTTGAGGCTAAATCTCATGGTGGGTGGGATGGGGAAAGAGATATAAAACCATTACCCAATATGACTTTTCTCGAGTCATCTAGGTAATAGAGGTGTAAATAATTAGTAGAATGTGGATTATTTATTAACGTAATTTTTTTCTTCAGTATCAGTGGGCTACCAAATATAAGATTTTTGTGGATTAAAGAAGGTTCAGTCCATACTACCTAGGTTCCGAATGAATGTACAGTTATGTCTAGCATCAATACATTGTGTTCCAAGTTGTTGCTTGTAACAGAACCTGACTAGTTTCAACTGTTAACTGTGGTACAGAGTAGGGTAACAGCCTGGCTTTTTAGCACTATTTATCTGACTTTATGTGTCTACTTTTAAAATGCGTAGTACTATATTTTAATTTGCCTTCCAAATGGTTTAAACTAAACCTGGACACTTTATGGCCCTTGGCCTTTTGGTTCTCCCTGTCCAGTCCGCCTGAGGTCAGTTGGAAATTAAAAATCAAATGTAAATAAGGGTGCCGCAGGGAGCAGCAGAAGAAGCCAAGTTGGGTCTGGCTCTGCGCAGTTGCCGTGCACTCCTTCAGCGTGTTGGCAGGCATGAAAGGGCGAAGAGACAAATCACTCTTCTGCACCTGTGTAGTGCTCATCTCTCACCTGGAGCAGCCAGAGTAGTTAAGGTAACAAAGTTTGAGTACATCAAATCTGGTTACACTGGTACACCCCTCCACAACAGTTCCAGTTTTTCATGTGGCTCCTTTGGAAAATACATTGTCCATACCTGATTTAAACTATAATTTTCATCAGCAAGGGTAGTGGTCAGTCCTTTACAGCTCCAATTCCAAACATCTGGTGCAACCCAAATTATAGTGACTTTGGTTGGAAACAGTGTAATCTGAAGAAACCTGAAGTGAAGGCAACTTAGTAGAATGTGCTAGGCTACAAGAAAAAAAGACACTTGGGTTTGCTTGAATGAACCCTGAATAATGCAAAGTGAGGAAGAATAAAACATCTTAAAGAGGATATTACACAGGAAGTCATGGTGGAAAGAGCAGGAACTGTTACTGGACAGTAAGTTGAATACATAGACTTGGATATATGTTTGTTCAGCACTTATTTAATACAATGTAAAATGATTTTATTCTTAAGTTAGATTCTGAACTAATATTTCTTTGTTGGTTGGTTATAGAGTTAACTTTCTAGCCAATAACTATGTGAACATGGCAAATAAAAAGCTAAGAAGAGCAGGTTTACCTCAAGATCTTTGTGATAGACTAAGTCGACATCAGATTATTACTTGCCGGGTAAGAAAAGTTCTTTTATGAAAGAAAATATATAATAAATGAGACAGTACTTGAAGTATGTAGCTTTGAGCACATGTGAAGTATTTCTTAATGCTTTTTGCAGGACTTCTTATGTCTTTCCTTCCTGGAATTAATGAAAATAACTGGACAGAGTTACTGGAGTGTCCAGAAACTTTTTCGGACTGTCAGCCAATCCTGTGCTCCCAGAATGCAAACGGTACGTAGTCTTTCACAAATCAGCATAGGAAAAAACCCACAAAGTTCTAACTCTAAACTTCACATCTTTCTGTTATTCCACCAACTGAGTAATATTTCTCCAAGTTGCCTTGATCTTAGCCCCTAACCTCGTTTTCTGGAGGGGTGGGGCATGTACGACTGTTCTTGATTGTGTAGCCATGCATCTCCGGGATTACAGCACCTGTAACAGAGACCAGTTCTTTGGTTTGAATGCTAATGGCATCTTCTAGCATATTGTCTAATGGTACTACTGTACTGAGCCTTGTGAGTCGACTGTAGCTAGTTTATAGATGATCTTATGTCTAATATCAGCAGCTGTGTTGTGTAATGGAGAGTAGTGATGCTTCAGCTTCAGGCGTTGGCTACACAGCCAATTGTTGTTACATGTCTTCTTGAGTTTTTGAGTCTGGTATATAATTGGTCTATGTAATTGATCTATCTCAAGTTGTGAAAGCAGTTTCCTCTTTACTATGTTGAAGTGTTGAGTAACTAACTAGCTGTTTTTGTTAATGTGGATTCAGATCGTCTATCCATCCAAAGTTCCTTCATACATTTCATATACCCCCTATCATTAAGTGTGCTGTTGTAGGAACATCCTATCAATTCCAGGTTCTCTTATCCATGTATGGTTTGTTCCAATACACTTGTCATCAGGTTGTTCTGATTCTTTAACATCTGATGCAGATCTTATTCATCTGGGCAGTATCTGAGCTGGTATGACACTCCTAGATTATGTTACTCTCATTTTTTGAGGTAGGGGGTCTTTGCCCAAGAACCCATAATAGTAAGGTAGGTACCTGCCATGTCAAAGGTGGTACTCAACCACTGTGCTATCCAGCTGCGCTCTCTCTCTCTCTCTCTCTCTCTCTCTCTCTCTCTCTCTCTCTCTCGATAGATAAATGGATGGATGGATATAGATATCCTTGATCGTTTTTTTAAAATAATTGCCTATACCACCAAAAGATTGGAGAGTAATAAAGTCAATTTTGGGACTCAATTATGGTAAGAATGGAGATATAAGATACTAAAAGTAGGTTCTGGGTAAATTAGCAGACATTTCTTAATTCCGAACTAAATTATATACTATATGAAAGAATATCTTGTTCAAAAGGAGGAAGCAACTTGGTTTCTACAGTACAAAGATAAATCCTTCTCTCCAGTCTTAGAATTCTTTGAGTGTTATCAAGCACCTGGATTAGGTGACCTGCTGAACATTATTGGATTTGAACTAAGTCCATTGTCATAACTTCAAACAATCCTATCATTATAGTATGGGATTAGAGATGCTTTTGAGTTTGGTGCTGCTTAAAGAATAGACTGCTGTTTAAACAGAATGACCAGCTCTTGCAGTAGAGGGATATGGTTCTACAGTATATGGGGACTGTTGCCTCTTAATTTATAACTGACTTTGTGATAGTATCTCCAGGAAGCTATTCAACTCCATGGGCAAATATCAAATAGTAATAGTAGTAAAGTTGGAAGGGACCTTGGAGGTCATCTAGTCCAACCCCCTGCTCAGGCAGGAAACCCTACACCATTTCGGACAAATGGCTGTCCAGTCTCTTCTTAAAAACTTCCAGTGTTGGAGAATTTACTGCTTCTGGAGGCAGGCTGTTCCACTGATTAATTGTTCTCACTGTCAGGAAGTTTCTCCTTAGTTCTAGGTTGCTTCTCTCCTTGATTAGTTTCCACCCATTGCTTCTTGTCCTGCCTTCAGGCGCCTTGGAAAATAGCTTGATTCCCTCTTCTTTATGGCAGCCCCTGAGATATTGGAATACTGCTATCATGTCCCCCTTGTCCTTCTCTTAGTTAAACTAGACATACCCAATTCTAGCAACCGTTCCTTATATGTTTTAGCCTCCAGTCCCCTAATCATCTTTGTTGCTCTTCTCTGTACTCTTTCTAGAGTCTCAACATCTTTTTTACATCGTGGTGACCAAAACTGGATGAAGTATTCAAAGTGTGGCCTTACCAAGGCATTGAAGAGTGGTATTAATACTTCACGTGATCTTGATTCTATCCCTCTGTTAATGCAGCCTAGCACTGTGTTGGCCTTTTTGGCAGCTGCAGCACACTGCTGGCTCATATTTAAGTGATTGTCTACTAGGACTCCGAGGTCCCTCTCACAGCTACTACTATTGAGCATGGTGCCACCTATGCTGTACTTGTGCATTTGGTTTTTCTTGCCTAAATGTAGAACCTTGCTTTTTTCACCATTGAATTTCATTTTGTTAGTTAGTGCCCAGTGTTCAAGTCTGTCCAGATCCTTCTGTATCTTAAGCCTGTCTTCTGGAGTGTTGGCTATTCCTGCCAGATTGGTGTCGTCTGCAAATTTGATGAGTTCCCCATCTATCCCTTCATCCAAATCGTTGATGAAGATGTTGAAGAGTACTGGGCCCAGAACAGAGCCCTGGGGCACCCCACTACACACTTCCCTCCATATAGATGCAGTCCCATTGAGGACCACTCGCTGAGTACGGCCGGTCAGCCAGCTACGGATCCATCTGGTGGTGGTTCTGTCTACCCCACATTTTTCTATCTTGTCAAGTAGTAGGTTGTGATCTACTTTATCAAATGCCTTACTGAAGTCCAAGTAAATTATGTACACAGCATTCCTCTGATCCACTAATTTTGTCACTTGGTCAAAGAATGCAATAAGATTTGTCTGGCATGATCTATTTTTGACAAACCCATGTTGGCTTTTAGTAATGATTTATGGTGACCAAAAGTGAGTGTCCAGTTCAAAATAAGTACATTTTGATGCTTTGCTTATGCATATATAGAGAGAGTAAATGAAGTTAGAATTACTAAATAAATGGCACAAAACAAGATTGAATGGGTTGGCAGGAAGAAGTGGACTGAAAAATTGTGGTTGAAAAGAATTGATGAGATTCTCAAAAGGGGAAGGCTAGTTGGTTTAAGATACAGAAAGCAATGCATGAAGAAGTAGAAGGGTATGGCAAAACTTTCCAAGTATACAGTGAATGGCATTGTAATTTTATTTCTTAGGCATAGTATTTTTTTCTATTTCTCCACATTTTGCATAAAAGAGCTTACCTCAAAAAGGAATAATGTGCATTTAGCGCTCTCTCTCTCTCTCTCTCTCTCTCTTTGTGTGTGGGTGTGGGTTCATGTCATGTCATGTCATATCATACTATCTCATGAAGAAATCCAAAAGTATCATTGCAAACTAGTGGAATAGGGATTAAAATGGCAAATTCACTTTAGCCTAAGCTAATGTAAAATGATACTGACGGGGCCAACAAAATACCTACTAAACAGACACACTGATTAGCAATCACAGGCATTTTAGATAGATAGCTAAATTTAAAATATGTATTAAATATGTGGTTGCTGTAAATCTGGTTCACCTACTATTAGGTGGAACCATTTCAAATAACTCCAATCTCTTGAGGAAAAGCAAACTATTAAAAAATCCTGAACTTCCCCCTATCTTTTAGTTATTTAAATTATTGTATAAATTCCTTTATAAAAATTCATAGTAGTTCTTCATAGGGACTTCAATAAACCTTTCAGAGAACCCAGACTTTAGAGCCAGTCAGTTTTCCTGGACAGTATGCTTTCCAGCTACTTTTAACTACAAGGGTGATAATTTCTTCTGAAGTTGTATTTTGCAAATTAAGCTTTTTACTGTCCAAAGAAGGAAAAAGCATATACTTACATGTCATTGTAACATCAAAGTTGAAATTTGCACTATACAAATATTGTAACTACTTTAGTATATTATCTTTGATCAGAAAGCTTAGGAAAAACTTAATGAAGACAAGAAAATAAATTAAAAACCTACCAGGAATTTTCTTTTATATTTTGATAAGCAAAACACTGCAGTTATACTTTTGGAAGAAAGTAATACTAAGCAGTTTTCTTAACAATTATATATAGCATCTTTTAAAATGATTCCTTGTTTTAGGCTTATGAAATGAAAATGAAAAGAACCACCAATCCTTCAACAGCATTTTTGTCAACAACGCTAGAAGATCTGGATAAAATATTGCATGGTGGAATTGCCTGTGATAGTCTTACAGAGGTAAAAGGTGGACATTTAGCTAAACTTACTTGTATCTGTTTATTTAACATATTTTCAGTGAATATTCATTTATGGTGTTAAAATGTTAGGCCTGAAGGTCATTCCCACACACCATTATACTATCTCAAAGTACTCAAGATGGTGTACAGCATTAGCCATAAAAACACATAGAATAATAAATGCCTGATCTTTTTTAAAGTATCAAAACCAAATCATAATCAGAAAAAGCAAAGGCAAGCCCCAAATAAAATGCAAGATAGGTACCACAGTCAACATGGATAAAAGCAGATGGAAATAAAACAGTTTTAAGATGTTTCTGGAACTGTGGCAAGGTGGGAGAATTGAATGTATTTCCTGGGGAGAGTGTTCCATAAGATGGGGGGGGGTGTTAAAAAAGAAGGCCTAATTGCCCCCATCATGGCTCGCATACCTCATGAGGGGAGGGATCTTTTATTTAGCCTTCCCTCTTTGACCATAGGACACCAGCAGATTCTGTGTTGTCTGATGTCTCCTGCTGCTGCACCATTTGAAACTTTAGGGATAATAATCAGCATGTTAAATTGGATGTGGAAGTCTACTAATAACCATTGCAATGACTTTATATTAAATATGTAATTCTGTATTGGCAGTATCATGCCACTGCATTTTTTTTTACCAGCTGTGGCTTCTGAGTTGTCTTCCAAGACAACCCCAGATGGAGGGCACTCACTGCACTAGTCCAGTCAAGTGGTGATCAAGTGATGATTAGGTTTGGGCCCTTCTGTTCCTGATTGGTTTAAAACTGGTGAATCAACTGAAGGTAGACATAACCTCCCCAGCTACAACTTCTATCTGCTCTTTGAGCAGGAGCTATAGATTCTGGAGCACCCCCAAATCACGAACCACTTTCTATGCAGGGAAACAAAACTACATGCAGAGTAACTACTAGGACCATGTTATAGGAGTACCCTGATCTGAGTGTGTTTTGTCTCATCCAGGTCTTCATAGCCTCATCGGCTGTGGTTATTCTCTGCTTTAGATACCTATTCTAAAACATAGGAGTTTAATACCTAGACTTCAGTTTTATCGCAAGAGGTTTTTTTTATTCCGTACTTTTGTGGCTTCACTTAAAGAACTGATGCTGAAAAAAATTACTATTCATTTTTATGACTGATGATGTGGTTGGAAAGTTGAAACTCAAATACACTTTTTCCCTATTGCCAGTTCTTATCCTGGTTCTCAGAGAGTCAGAAAAATGTTCTGGCACTGATTCCCCAGCATATTTTTTAAATCATTAGTGAAATTTAAAGAAGGAATTGAATCATGCCCTTTTGTGATTAATCATTGTTTGTCTTGAAAATAATGAACCATTACATGAAAAGTGGCATTCTTTCTACAAAGGAAAACTTGAATGTTGTTACTGTAGGGAAGGCATTTTGTACCCAACTTCAGAATAAAAATAGAACAAGGTATTTTCAATGAATTCTCAGCAGTGAATTTTTCTCTCTTTTGCATTCATTCCATTAGTTCCTAAAAGAAAGAATATAGTCAGTCAGATTTTTGTGGGAAAGAGTCAAGCGATGCTCACATTAAAATCAATTAGATTCTAAAACTGTCAACTTGTTATAGTTTCTGCCAAAATGTGAGATGGTACAAACACATAAATATGTCACCAGTTAATAAAACAAAATATAAACCAATATACTGGTTTTGAAAATAATACAGAAATAAGTTTTTATTTTCGTTGATGATAAAACCTAAGATGCACGTGGTTTTCAAAGTTTGTGATAAATTGAGCATATGTCATCCTGGAAGTGGTTAATGGGTTAAGTTAAAACCCCACCTTCTCTCCATGGGGATCTCACTCCCTTCCTTGCTTGCTTAACTCCATTTTTAATGTTAATATTTATTGTTTTAATATTTAATGGTTATCGATAGGAAACCATCTAGAGTCACCACCAGGTGAGATGGTCGGCATATAAATTAAATAAATAAGGACTGGTATTTGATAAAGAGTTTTAAAGTTTAGATTGGAAAGATTCACACGCTATAATGAAAGCAAGCAAGCAAACAAAACATGGTTTGACTACTACTGAAAGAAGAAAAAAAATATGCTTGTGAGAAATCTTATGTTTATATTCCTATCAATAGTCTGTGGGAACTCCCAAGCTGAGCAGTCAATCACTGGATTGATTTTGATGGCTGTGCTAGAGGAAGGACAGGCAGAAACAGTGGGCTGGGATTGTTTATTGAAGCTATTTCGTTTTGTACATTAGATTACATACTTCATCAAGAAGAGTGTTTCTGATCTCACCTTAGCTACCTCTCATAAGGAAAATCTCTACAAGATGTTTTATAGATGGCATTTCCCACCCACAAGGTTAGCCAAAATGGGCCCAAATCTCTCACCCATATATTGGAAATGCAAAATAGCAATAGGACCTACTACCATATGTGGTGGAAATGCCCTAAAGCAGTGGTTCTCAATCTTTTTAGACCGGTGACCCCGGTCATAAGCAGGCGGTGTGCATGCGTGGCGCCGCCCCCTGCGCGGCACACATGCGCGGCACCCCCCTGCGCGGCACGCATGCGCGGCACCCCCCCGCGTGGCATGCATGCGCAGTGCCGCCCCCTGCGCGGCACGCATGCGTGGCGCCCCCTGCGTGGCACGCATGCGCAGCGGCACCTGCGCGGCACGCATGTGCGGTGCCGCCCCATGTGCCGCCCCTGCGTAGCGCGCATGCGCGCCGCTGCCCCCTGCGCGGGCTGAGAAAAAAATGGTGGATCGCGTTGTTTGGCGATCCCCGTGAAATGGTCGTTCGACCCCAAATGGGGTCGCGACCCACAGGTTGAGAACCGCTGCCCTAAAGCTTGTGATTATTGGAATAGGATAAGAAAATGGTTGAAAGAAATATTAATGCTGGAGATAGAGCTAAAACCTGAACTTTTTATTGGGCATAACCAATATGATAAGGGAATAGTTTATTTGATGCTGCACATCTTGACTGCTGCCAGATTGGCATTTGCACAAAAATGGAAGAACAAAGAAACTCCCACAGAGGAAGAGATACTATATAAAATACTATCTTGTGCTGAAATGGACAGGCTTATGATGGAACTGAAGCATAAAAGTGGATCAGAATACTTTGAAATCTGGGATAAATTTTACTTTTGGTGGGAATCGAGGAGGACTGTCGGGCTTATAGATTAGCGTTAAGATGGAAATGTATATAATCTTAGGTTAGCAAATAGAAAAATGAATTAAGTATTGTATAAAAAATCTCATATGTATCTGTAGAGATAAAGAACTAAATGTAAGAAGAGAAATAATTTGATAGAAATGTTTATACTGGAATGTTACGTCATGTCCAATGTTTTTTTTAAAAAACTGTATTATAAATAAAAAACTTTTTAAAAAAAGAAGAAAAAAAAGAAGAAGAGTGTTTCTGATAACAAATATCTTGTTTCTGGCAAGGCTGCATTCTTAACCCAGAGAGTTGCAGAAAATATCCCAAATGAGCTAAGAGCTTGTTAAATTCTGGCAGCTATTCCAAGCAATGTATGTTTGTATTTCATAATCACGTTATTCTGAGTTTAAAAGAATAGACTTATAACCCCTCTTTCAGTACCTTGGGGGAAAACCAGAAACAAGAAAAGCCTGTGGGAAAATTGAGGAAATAACTTTTTATTGCATTTTCAGCCCCCCAAACTTAACCATCTCAGTTGGAAATGTTATAATATTCCATATGCTACTAGTGTTGCAGTCATTCATTGTAATGGACTTAAGACTTAAGACCTGAACTACCAAGTAACTTGTGTTGTAAGCATTAATTATTATACTAGGGAGAAGAGAGGAAAAGATGTCTGAAAATAAGAAAAGTGCAAATAGAATTTAGCTAGTGAAAATATCCTGATAATTGCTCTAGTTCAGGGGTAGGCAACCTCGGCTCTTTTATGACTCGTGGACTTCAACTCCCAGAATTCCTGAGCCAGCATACCTATGCTGGCTCAGGAATTCTGGGAGCTGAAGTCCACGAGTCATAAAAGAGCCGAGGTTGTCTACCCCTGATCTAGTTACAAATCTGAAATTGAACTGAAACATTCAGAAAGCTGCAAACGTTGCTCTGTGGGTATAGTACTAACCACAGTGCAGCTTTCTGAAAGTTTCTCCCTTGTCATGATATATGGCTCAGACTTTGGGTATCAGAGAGACAGACTACCAAATCCAGACCAGGAATCGCCTATTGAAGATCCCCTCCTATCTTGAGGTGTGGTGGGGAAGAGATATGAGATATGAGGGGAAACAATCTTTTTTTGAGCTCCCCTTCTTTGAAATGGGCTGCCCCCCACCTTACAAAGGGAAGTAAAAATGTTTTTTTTGGGGGGGGGAAGGTTTGGGAGATTGAAATTATAGGCACCATAGTGGTTCTAATGTTTGATATGTATATTACCTATTAATTTTGTTATTATGGTGGAAATGTAGTAAGTAGAATGTGGCCTGTTGCAAGGAATATATGTGGGTCAACAGAACTAAAACTAGTGGTGTCTATGAGTGTACTTTTGCTTGTTTTATTATATGAAACTAAGAGTTGGGTCAGAATAAAACCTAAAAGAATGAATGTTGTTGGTTATAAACTAGATTTGGCTGTTTCCTTATCTTTCCTTATATCGTGCCTTTAAATTAGTTGGTATAGTACAGCTAGTCCTTGACTTACAGCAGTTCATTTAGTGACTGTTCAAAGTTACAATGGCATTGAAAAAAATGACTTATGATTGTTTTTCACACTTACAACCGTTGCATCATCCCCGTGGCCATGTGATCAAAATTCGGATGCTTGGCAACTGGTTCATATTTATGACCGGTGCCCTGTCCTGGAGTCATTTGATCAGCTTTTGCGACCTTCTGACAAGCAAAGTCAATGGGGAAACCCGATTCACTTAACAGCCATATTGCTAACTTAGCAAATGAGATGATTCACTTAACAGCTGTGGCAAGAAAAGTCGTCAAATGGGGCAAGCTCACTTAATAAATGTTTCACTTAGTAACATAAATTTTGGGCTCAGTTGTGGTCACTGCTCAAGGACTACCTGCATTACTATATTTTACTTGAAAGAAATATTTTTTTAAAATAAACATATATGTTTTTTTAAAAATATTTGGACATTGCATCATACTATCAAACCCTATTATCTCAAAATCTATTACTTTTGCTATTTTTTAAATCAAACTGAGATATGGCATTGTAAAATTACACAATACTATTGAGGTATAGCGATGCGGAGGCTAAACCTAAAAATAGAAACTGAAGATTTACAGAAAGATTATAATGCTGTTTGTGTCTACTTCTGTTATTAGATAACGGGTCCATCAGGTTGTGGTAAAACTCAGTTGTGTATTATGATGAGCTTGCTGGCCACACTGCCCACTAACATGGGAGGCTTGGACGGGGCAGTTATTTACATTGATACAGAATCTGCATTCACTGCTGAAAGGTAAGACTGATACAAAAAAAGTATCTACAGCTTTAGAAGCCATATTTCATTACATATATAGTACAGACGTAGCCTGGAATTAGTTGTTCAAGTGCCATAGTGTTCTTTTGAAGGCAGTGAAAGATCTAAGTCAAATTCCAGTATTGTCTTCTCTTCCCTCTACCCAATTACAGATTTTGCAAGCTCCAAGCATAGAGCCCATAATTTGTATAGTCCATTGCAGTGCAACACTCCTTTGCAAAAACAGCCAGCTATATTTTTGGGAACTTACCACCCATTGGAATTAAAGAAAAACATTGCTTCATTGCTTTTCTTTTCTTTTTTAACAAATATTTTATTGAGTTTTATAAGGGTAACAAGGGAATAAGGTCAACAAAGGTAAAACAAAGGGAAACATACAAAGGGTTAAACCAAAGGAAAGGGGTAAACACAAAAGTGGGATTAATCCCACAAAATAACATCACTTCAGCAAGTAAACCCGTCCGGGTATACATATTAAATCTTAATAATTACTCTAGTATTAAACAGATTTCAATATAGTCATGTAAATTACAAGTTAGTCAATATATCTCATTCATTTTAGTAATTAACAATGCTTAATACTAATTAGTTGTAATAACTTTAAAATAGTAATATATTACTTATTGGTTATAATTTACTATATTATTAAATCACAAATACGAAAAGAAAAAGAAAAAAAAGAAGACAAGTTCCTACAAATAATCATAAAATATAAATACAAATTATCAATTATCTCTTTAAGTTTCATAGCCTTTTCTCATTCTATTGTGTTGCTAACCATTGGTAAAAATTTTTCCCATATTTTAAAATAAATTGTGTCTTCTTTCTCTTTCATTTCTAAAGTTAATCTATCCATTTCTGCACATTCAAGTATTTTTGTTATTATAATCTGATCAGATGGTAAATTTTCATTTTTCCAAAATAGGGCAAATATTATCCTCGCGGCTGTTAACACATGTAATATTAAATACTCATTCTCTTTTCCATAATTCAAGCCTAATATTCCTAGCAAACAGAGTTCTGGTTTAAATTCTATCTGTATTTTAATCATCTTTTCTAGCCACATATGAATCTTAACTTCATTGCTTTTCTAATGCTAATAATTCAGTGAAATTCCCACTAGAGTGCAGTCCTGACCCAGTTGAATTTAATAATGAATCCATTAGAGGCACCTACAACATTCTCGTTTCCAATCTTCTAAGGATAATGTCACTGGATTACTGACAATTTGTGAATGCATTTGAGTCTATTTGTTAAAAGAGTAGAAATATTTGTTAGGTTTTTAATTATTTATGTAACTTAGACTGGGATAAAAGTTCATTCCAAAATAATTTTTAAGGTTGTCACTAAATGCTGCTCCTTTGTGTTTCTTCCACTTGACCTTTCTGTAATGGATACAGAAGTATTCCATTGCTCACCTTCAAAGACGTTAAGCCACTGCAAGTATTCTGACTAATACTTAAAACAATTTGTGAGTTTGCACATTTTTAGAGTAGTTGTTTGAAGGAACTCAAAAGCACTCAACAAAATGCCCATCTGTCTGCTATTTTTTTCTTGTAATTTAAGGATGCACAGAGAAGGTGATAGAACAACTTTCTCTGCTTATAGGCAAGAGAAAAGAAGGACTACGGTGGGCATGATAGCAATATTCCAGCATTTGAGAGGTTGCCACAAACGAGGGGGTTGACATATTTTCCAAAGCACTACAGGGCAGGACAACAAACAATGGATGGAAACTAATCAACGAGAGAAGCAACTTGGAATTAAGGAGAAACTTCCTAACAGTGAGGACAATTAACTACTGGAACAGCTTGCCATCAGAAATTGTGGGTGCTTCATCACTGGAGGTTTTTAAGAAGAGACTGAACAGTCACTTGTCTGAAATAGTATAGGGTCTCCTTGAGCAGGTGGTTGGACTAGAAGATCTCAAAGATCCCTTCCAGCTCTATTCTGAGACCTCTCAAGTTATGTTTGACTCCTGATGATATGATGGACATGTTCATATTGTTTTGTTTGCCTCTATATAGGAATGATATGCCATGCCTTTTTCAGGGATTTTTTTGACATTCCAGAGTGCACTGGGGCTTACAATAATAGGAGTACTATAGTCTTCCACTGAATTACTGTATTAATCAAATCCAGCCTAACTTAGCTTTTGGAGACCAGCCAAAATCAGCTAAGATCTGCCATCTACTACGGATGGGCAAGGACTACAATCTCTGAAGAAAATAGGGACCATGCTCCTCAAGAAGTGAATCTTTTGTGTTCTCCTTTTGTCAATCTTGAAAGAATTTGAGAAGTTGATAGATAGGCCCTCCTTGAATGACTATAAAACCTATTCTTCAGTTTTTCAGTTTTCTTTTCTCTTTTTCAGTTTCTGATTTCTACTCTCTCTATTTCTCTCTCTGTTTCTTTCTGTAGTTAATGAAAACTGAACTGGCAGCAAAAGTTTTCATCATAATAAGGAACCTCTTGGTAGTTACCTCTCCTTTCAGTGTTAGGGTTAGTTCTTTTCCTGTGTCAGTGATCTAGTAAGGTTTGGTTGAGTGATTAATGATCTAGCTCCTGCAAGCTAGTTTATCAGATGGCTAATTGAAAAAGTGAGGGGATATTTATGGCCATCTGCTCTCTGTTATTCATCTGTATTTATTTCTACTCTTGAGAATTAGAATATGCCCCAAACATTTGGGGTGGTGGTGTGTATTTAAAGGCATATGTTGAAAAATATGGAAAAGAATCAAATATATACATTGTCATAAATTTATGCTTACTTTTAACTAAACTCTTTTGCATAGATAGTTTTCCTTCATGTTTAATAATTCTGAAAAGCAATGGTTATCTTCTCTCAGTAATTTGCTTTGGGTCCCAAACAGGCTGGTTGAAATAGCTCAGCATCGATTCCCACATTATTTTGCTACAGAAGAAAAGCTGATTGCAATGACAAACAAGGTTCTTGTCTATCAGGAGCTAACCTGTGATAGCGTACTAAAAAGGTAACCATTTTCTCTCTTGGGGGCAGCACAGTCTGTAAAATATTTAATATAGAATATGGAAGCAAATGAATATCTGGGCCTTTACTGTTATATTCGGATACACACACACACATACATATACACATATGCACACATACATATACATATACATACAAAACAGACACACACACACACACATAGCTTACACAGACACACACACATATGAATAGATATAAACAATATAGTATATCTCCATATCCTTAGTGAGTGACAGTCTGCTGAAAAAAATTCTAAAAAAACCCTGTTCCATCTTATTTTTTTGACTTATAGAATGTAGCAATATTGAGGATTTTATATGTGGGGGAAGCACTTCCTGTAGGCATTTTTTAAAAAGTAGGTATTCAGGATAGATTGTTATTTCACGCCTCTCTTAATGTGCAGTGTCATTTCTTTGTAGGACTTCTTATTACTTTTATTTAAATTTCAAAAATATTACAATTAGCATTTCTTTTTAAAAAAGAATAATATAGTACAGTATAAAACCTACAGTATGTGTAATAATAACATTATATATTGTATTTAAAATAAAACTTTATTTATAAGATTTGTAGGCTGCCCCAAAGTGTAGATAATTAATCTCTTATAAATATAACAAATAAGGAAAAATAACAAATGAAATAATATATTAAATTACCTAGAAACGAAACAATAACAAAAAAAACTTAAAATGAAAAAACCTGCATCAAGCTAGAAAATCAAGATAACAAAATAAAAGTCTAAATTTCTAACTTACTACTTTTTCTAATCTATGCATATAAAACTCAAATATTTTTTTATTTCCATTTATTTATCTACGTAGCTTCTAAGATAACATTATTTTATTTAATTTTTTCCAAGTTATGCTTCAATTTTTAAATAATGAACTTAAACCTAGATTTGTGAGAGCCTTATGGACACTGTGCTTGGCACATAAACAGAATTCTGGGCCAAGTAGTAATATATCAATTTTAGGAATACATTTTCATGGTAATAGTTTTAGCTATTACAATTGATTTGGGTAACACCCTAAACATCATTATTATAATGATTAACAGAAAGGAAGTATGTAGAGAGTGTCCAGGATGATAATGTCTAAGTTAAAATTATGATTTATAGTCTTGGGAGCTTCATCACTGGATAAAATTATATGAGTACGAAAGACAAGATGGAGTTTTCTCTGGGCGAAAAGCAATAAGAACAAGATGATTCATGTTGAAGATAGGAATATTCATGGATTACTTTTTGTAGTAAAGTGGAAAAATTTCTAGTAAAATACCGAATTATGAAGAATTGGCCATAGGATCAAATGAGTCTCAGTTGATTCCAAACACAAAACTCAGCTCTGGAATGACACAATAAAAAAATACATCCCCCCAAAAAAACCTGAGCTCAAGTGCAAATATAATGAAAGATTACACAGGGATCAAGTACTCTAAGACTCAAGATCACTAGAATGAAGTTGTCAATAATTTGGTTCCTGGTAATAATAGGAAATCTCAAATAGATTTTTTGTGTTGAAATTAGCTGACTGAACTTTTTCAAAAGGTATAAATTTCAGATACTATTGGAGGAAAACAACTAAAAGGACAGAATATACTGGTGGTATTAATCTACTGATCATTCTTGAAATGAGAACGTTGCATGATTGGGCCACAGTACTGGCTAACAAACTGGACTGTTCAGCTTAAATATCTCTGTGATGTGGACTTGGCAATGTGGCTTCCATTAATGTGTACCCACAGTTCTATGGTAGGAATTCCTTTTTAAATTAGTCACTAGAAGACACACAGTGGTAGAATGGTAGTAAGTAATTGAATCCCTTGTTAATATAAAGGATCTTTTTTGTGGCAGCCTTCAAATCTATGTTCTTATTACTTCCTTAATAAATGTTATTCTTTAGTAAGGTGCCAGAATGATATTAGTAAAACTTACAGGTCATGTGTGCAGATACAGCAGTTGGACATTTCCGTAGTAACACAGATAATATGCTATTCATACACAAACAACTGCATTTCAAAATGTACATATTAAAATATAAAAGCAACAAACATTTGCAAATGCATATGCCAAGGAAATACACTTTCTGATATTGACTCCAGTTACCTGTTGGACAAGGGGGTGTGATGACTCAGCAGTTAAAGACCCTGAGCTTGTCAACTGGAAAGCTGACAGGCCAGTTCGAGACCCAAGTGCCACGGAGCAGGGTGAGCTCCTATTACTTGCCCGAAGCATTGTAAATACAAGTAAATAAATAGGTATCATTTTGGTGGGGTGGTAACAGTGTTCCATGTGCCTCGGCCTATAGTCATTCTGGCCACATGACCATGGAAATGTCTTTGGACTATGCTGCTCCCTTGGCTAAAAACTGGAGTTGAGAACTGCCCCCTAGATTCAGATATGAGGGGCGGGGAAACCTTTACTTTTACTTGGACATGCAGAAGTGTGTGTGTATGGGGGTATTGTTTATTTAAACTGGAAACCTTGGCTACACATACATGCATTCATGTGCAGATGTGATGCTTAATTTACCAATGTGAAGAAATTGAGATTGTTTCAAGGCAACAAAGTATCTGTGCACACATAGCAAAGTTTATAGCATAATTATGCAATAAAGTGCTACTTGATTAAAAAAAATATTATACCAACATGTCCGTTTGTTTATGAGCAACAACTTCAAGAATTCCTTTTCAATTTCCTAGCCTAGTCTAGACTTAGGATTTCCTGACAATCTCTCTTTCAGTTACTAATCAGATTCAGCCCTGGTTCGGCCTTTCAGAATCAACCAAGATTCATTTGCAACTGGAATCTAGAAAGGTATGTAGGTATTTGTACCAAATTCTACAATTACTACTTGGCTTATTCTTTTTTCCAGAATTAAATCTTTGGAAGAAGAAATAATTTCTAAGAATGTTAAGCTAATAATAGTTGACTCAGTTGCTTCAGTAATCAGAAAAGAATTTGATACAAAGCGTCAAGGTAACCTGAAGGAACGAAGCAATTTATTGAGTAAGGAGGCTTCAATATTGAAATACTTGGCTGAAGAGTTTTCAATACCAGTAAGTTTCTTTTCTCTATTTTTCATATGTGAAATATTTTTGTATTTCCAGTGATTTAGAATGTCTGAAAACCTACTTGAAATACTGTAATATAGATTTTATTTTAAAAAAATTGCTTGGCAAGAAGACCGATAAGGTAGTTTTTCTCATGTAGAAGAAAGACTAATGTTTGATTTGGTTTTCTGATCACAAGATGAACAATTAATGCCATCCTTTGCAGATTTGCCCAAGGATATTAGTATCTCGTGTTCCCATTCCTTAAAATTAGCCTTTTGTTGATAAAGCAAACCTCCTTGTAGAAATAAATTGTTGGATTATATTCTGAAGCATATTTGAGATTAGATTATTCCACCATGGGAATGTTTGTAACTAGTCTTAGGATCAGCCTATATGCTACATGGATGGTAGTGCAACAGGAGATTCTCATTGGCAAATTAGCTGTCTTCTTTGTGAGTTTGCATCATTAAGATACTACTTGAGGTATTTCAGTGAATAGTCCTCAAATCAGAGATCCCTTGCATTTTTTGAAAGTGGACTCTGGTAGGATAGTACCATGGATTTAAAAGAAAACCCTGAAAGTCAGGGTTGTAATTTCAATTTAACTTGGAAAAAAATAAACTTCATTTACATATTTCACGTTGCAATTTTTCTTAAATCAACTCATAACATGCATCTCATGTATTCAGATCTTTAATTCAGATCTTTCTGCTACTGGTTACTTACTGTTGTTTTGAAACACTGATATCCTATTAATCCTTCTATAGTTGAATTGTGGTAAATATAAATATAATACAGTATTGTTTTTAAAAGAGTAAGCAATCAAAGCACAGGGCAGAGATAAAACAACTAGAAACCATAACAATAACAGGGTCTTTGAAAACTTTAGAAATGTAACAGAGAGGAATTACATGATAACATTCAGAAAGACAAGAACATAGCACTAGGTTTGGATCTATAAAATATTTGTATCAATTTTATTTAAAAACAGTATAGAACTTCTAAACAGTTCAACATAAGACCAATCTAAGAACATTCTGGATGACATATTTCTAAATGCTATTAATGAAAAGAGAGAACTGCCAGCATTTTGATAAACTAAACTGAAAAGTGCATCACTCTTGTGAGGCCTTAGTGAGTTCCTAATGTGATAAAAATTATTATTTTTCAGAGAGATAAAGTTACTATGTCCACTGTCCATATTTGCTATGGGAATTTAGTAACTAAGTTGCACTTCCCAATTCAAGGATGATGCACAGTTTGGGGCTCTTTGTGAACCCACAGCTGCTGACAGCTGTGGTCAGGAGGGCTTTTGCCCAGCTTCATGTGCTATGCCAGTTGCACATTTTCGTCTGCCTTCCTTTCAATCACTCATGCCCTGGTCACTTCATGGCTTGACTACTGCAATGCTGTACATGGAGCTGCTCTCGAAGACCAACTGGGTTGATTTTTTTTTAAGATGAACAAACAACAAGGGCTCTCACTTTGATGTTTTTAGTGTGAATTGGGGCGTGGATGAGGAGAAGGCTCTGTCTTTTTGGTCCCTTCTGCTACTTTGGGTTAGCATGTTATTATGTTGATAGTGTCCCATTTTTGCCACCAATTGTCCAGTTTTTAATATTAAAATGTAAAGATATGTTGGATTTCTTCTTTTTATACAAAAAGTTTCATTACTTTTTAAAAAAAGGATGAGATCATCTATATCAGGAACCTCTTTTTATCTTTAAGTATTAAAATTTGAATTGTCGGGGTTTGGAATAGCTCTGTCATCTATGTTTATAATCAGGGACAACAACTTAAAAAAAGAAAATTACAAAGAAAAAAAATAGTTCTAGGCACAGCATAAGATGGTGCAGATCTACTACAAATGTCTTGTTTCCAGCCACAACCTAAGAAGAGATCCCAAGTTATTGCCAGTTACGAGAGTGTACTGCAGAAATAATATAACTTCATGATCACAGCCTGAAAGGAAGAGTGCAAATTGAGGATTTAACAATCCAAGTTTATAATTTATACAGAGAACTAAAAACAACTAACACTGCATAGGAACCAGCCAACAATCTATTCCAGATTTTCAACTAAACATTTTGACTGGTTCCACATAAATGTAAGATTCAGCAGTAAAGAATTATTTAATTACAATCTTTCAAATAATATATAATTCGTTAAAAATTATTGTCAGATTTATAGATTGCAGCATATTATGTTAGGAATCAGAAGCAAATATCTGGAGCCAAACTGATGATTTGTGCTTCTTTCAGTAAAACTACCCAAACTGTCAGATTGTATGTTTGTGGGAATAATATAAATACTAGAAACTGGATTAAAAATTTGTTTCCTTAGTTTTAGACTATAATAAAGATGTATGTTTTCATAGGCTAATTTCTAGACCTTGTCAGGTGCAAGCAATCTGAACAGCTCAAATAAATGGTCAAAGAGGTTTCTTTATTGATGAACATTAGCATACAGGAATCTCACCAGACTGATGCCTTCCCTTAAAAAAAGACAGATACATTCCTAATGCCTTGACTTCAAACACTTTCTACACCTCCGGCAGCTCGAATGTCTTTTAACTCTCCCTTATCAGGGGCTTCTCCCCTTCAGCTGGTGGTTCCACCATAACCATGGTCAATACATGTAAAATATTGAAGTATATCCTAGTTTACATGAAGTTTATATTTCTGAGATTCCAATCACTGGAATTCTTAAATTCCTATTTGATGTATTGGACAATTTTCCTCTAATAATGGTTCAGTTTTATATTCAGATAGAAATTCCTTTTCTAATATAGATCAGTTGGATACATGATGCCTGGAAGTTTACTGCTCAACAGTGCAGTGATGCAAGTCCCATAACTTTAATCACTATCTGCGGATAAGCCAGGAAGCCCTTCCCAAGAACAATGTCTCTTGTGGTGATGATTTGTTGTGGGGAAGCACATAACATTTAGTTTTGTCATTTTCTTGATCAACATGAATAAATTTGATTTGATTTGATTTGAAAGTATAACAAGCTAAAGAGCTTCTATAAAGAATTTTTATGAATTTTGTGACCTTCTCTTATATTACATCAACATAAACCAAACCCTTATGCTGTTCTGAAGGATTGACAGTTTTATTTATTTTTAATCTGTGCCTGTTATATTACTTATAATATAATCCAGACATCAGTTAATGAATCATTTGAGTTTCATAAAAACAAATCCATTCATCTCAGTTGAGTTCAAGTTGCATGATTTTTTTTGAAGTATATATGTTGTGTATGATGAAACAGCCACTAGATGGTGCATATTTATTATGCAGCTAAATCCTGGTCTATTACAAGAGGATGCTCAAGACTTTCCCTTGTTTGGCAAGCATTATAATGGGAATTAAAAGCTTTGGTTCTTTTTGTTAAAATAAAGCTAACACAAGGTTTGTCTAATTTCCCACAATGCTGATGGCCCTCTTCATTAGAGCTATATATCGTGACTATCCAATCAGGTTGAGCACATTAGCAAGGTTTGATTAGTTCTTCATGCATTCATTAGGATGCTAATAGAATTTGCTTCACAGTCATAATCTGCTTTATTGGGGCCTATATTTATGAGAATCCTATTTATATTTAAATGAATTGCAAGTAGAATTTTTCAGACCATGATGCTTAATATTGTAACATCTGAAGCTGATGAGACTTTTGTGGAGGGAGAATGTAGAAGGTAATTTTAATTGTTAAATAAGTAAAGAGCACTATGTTTTAAGAAACTCTTCATTTAGTTGGATTACCCAGAATGTTATGAAGAATAATAATTTAATATTAAAAGATACAGATCTAGCAGCATGGTGACCTAATGGTGAAGACACTCATCTCCTACTCAGAGGTTGAGAGATCAATCCTAGGTAGCAGCAGAGGTTTCTTTCCTATAGCATAAAGAAAAAAATATCTGCTGCAAACTCGAGAAAGGCATCAGGAAGGGCTTCCAGTCTGTAAACGCTCAGGTCATCCAGTCACTCCAGCTCTACCCTGAATGGGGATTACAGGGTCATAAAAGAAAGGTTGTTTTTAAATTAAAAGACACAAATCTATTGTGAGATAAAAATGCAATTAAAAGCATTAGTGTAAATCAATAGAGGTTCTAGTGCAACTGCTGCACCCAAAGTCTAGGAATAACCATTGTAGTATCTTCCAGATATTTTGGGCTAAAGCACTTATAAATTGTGGCCAGCATGGCTGCTGGTCAGGGTGATAAGCCTTGTATCTTAGAAGACCTCAAGCTGTCTACTGCTGTTTTGTACACAATGACTGTTTTTAAGATTTTTTTGCAAATATTTTTGGGGTAACTGGGTGAATTAATGTATATCACTTTATGTTTATGTTGAAAAAACATAATTCATTTGTGAGCATCCTCAAAATGATGGGTTTTAACCTGTAAATCCAGAAAGGTCATCTTCTGCCACATGAACTCAAATGACCATTAAGATTGACCTCAGAGGCCCTGCTTTGCATCCTTCCATTCTAATAAGCAAAGTGTTATGGTTCCGGCTAATGAAACATTTCAAAGAACTTCCAGGCATTTATTTTCCTAAAAGTCTTTTATTGAATCAAAATGTCGGCACAGACACAATGGAGGGATGCTAGGATCTAAGTTCTCTTCCTCTGAGCAGTTAAATTATCAGCATGTTCCCTCCCTAAATTAGCAGTCATATCTCACATTATCCAATTAATGTGAAGGTCAAATGTTTTCTTCCTCTTTCTTTCCCCGGCTTTACCCCCAACCCCCTCTTCTGCTCTGTATTAACCCCATAATTACCAGACAATTCTGCATATTGTCAAAAGCAGGAATATACAATATTTGCAGCGTTGACACAAAGTAATGGCTGTTCACAGTGATCCAGCTGTAATATCCTGTTAGTAGAATTGCTTTTTCAGACAATATTATTTCAGAAGTAATTTCTGGGAAATAAAGGGAAACTTTCTATTCTTATTTTTTAATTTCAAATTCCATTGTATTTATAGCCTTGATT